CCGGTCTTTCCTTACTTAAAGCCGGAAAGCCGCAAAACTCTTGAACAAAAGTTTATCTTTCAAATCGGCACTCTTAATCTCACAGGTATCAACGAAAGCTTTTCAGGCACTAATTTATTCGTGCCGGAGTGTTTTTCTCGTCGCCATGTTCCCACCAATGGCGTAGCTCCGCTTTCTGCATATAAACCCAGATACAACCCACAATTCCTCCATTCGCTCTGACGAAGGGCTAACGCTCGAAACGTCAGCTTTTTTATTTGTTACGTTGGCCAATTTACAATTTCAACTTAGTTGATATAACCAAACTACCTTGTTACCCCCACCGACGCAGCACCGCAGTTTCTTTAGAAACTTTCAGCCTTTATCTATTCTCAAATATCTCATACAGGGCTAGTGAAGAGAAAACCCAAGGAAAAAAAATGATATTAAAACAGTTCTGTGTAAGGCCAGAGAAGATTAGAAGGTTCGGCAAAAAAAAAAAAAAAATCTTAAAAAAACTTGATTTTATTTTTGACAAGCATGACCCTCGGCAAAGCTACTTTGAAAATGCAGTCGTCAGGGAAATCAACCAAAAAAAATCAGTGATATCAGTGTTACAGTCGTCCTTTGATAAAAACCTGAAAAACACGGTTGCTTTCACCAACACTTACCTTTTCCTTCGAAGAAGACAGATTCATCCTGTACCCACTGAAAGCAAGGGAATTCGTAAAGCCTTTGGGGATCTTGACTGCAGGTTATCATGATTTTCTCCACAAACCAGTCACTTAACAATCCACTCTGGTCATTGTGTAGTTTAATCATTAACAGCTCCCCCACATCTTCTGCAACGAGGAGATAAGTATCTTCTTTTCCAGCTTCAAAATCGTCATGAAGCAATTTGTCCATCAGTAGAGGTCTTGTTCTTCCTTTGTTTCCTGTTAAAGGTTTTAAGTAAGCTATTATTGCAGTGATCACAAAAATTTTGCCATTCTAGAAATAAAACATTAGTTCATCTTTGCCTTCACTAAGAAAGGGTGAGAGAACTTTTTAAACAAGCTATTATTGCAGTAATCACAAAAATTTTGCCATTCTAAAAATCAAACATTAGCTCATCTTTGCCTTCACTAAGAAAGAGTGAGAGAACTTTTCAAACAAGCTATTATTGCAGTAATCACAAAAATTTTGCCATTCTAAAAATCAAACATTAGTTCATCTTTTCCTTCACTAAGAAAGGGTGAGAGAACTTTTCACACTTACATAAATCATAATCGTGGAGAAGACACTTAACGAAATTAAGGAGAGATTAGGACGTAGTTCATGCGAATATATGTCAGTCTAGTTGTTCCAATGATTTAAAACGCCATCCTCCCACAATAAGTGACTCATTCACCTCTGAATTGTTAATCGTTAGAGAGATTTAGCACCGCGTTTACGTGAAACAGCAGAAGGTTTTTTATATAAAGAAAGTGCAATGTGACTAAGTCTATAGCCTACCAGTGATGGTAAGGGTTACATCGGCGTTGGTGCCAGCATATTTTCTATCACCAGTGAAAACTGAGATGCAGTAGATGGACATATCTTCGCCGGTTTTTGAAGGTCGTCGAAGATTCAATTTACTGCTTGAGCCAGACTGAACTTTCGATTTCAAGTGCGCCGAGGAACTGTAGTCATAGATAGTCTTAGCTGGTGGCACTGATAAAGTCGAGGGCATATTTTTTAACGAAAAACGTGTTGATTCAGTTACGTCTAACGGTAAAAGTGATGTCAACCTGACGTTAGCTAGGTCCAACCATGGGTGAGCTGCTTGGTCCCAGACTCTAGCTGGGTGGAGAACAAGATGTGAGTCTTCGGGTTGCATTTCATGTAGTTGTATTTGAAGTTTGTATTGAATACCACCGTCTGACATGCGCTCTTCAAATTCAGCAGTTAGATAATCTTTAGGTCTCTTATCGCCCTCCCAACGGAATGTTTCCCTAGAGAAAAGAAAGGATAAGTAAGCTAATAAATTATTGATCTTTTTGTCTTAGGTCAGCCAAACTCTGAATAATCCGTTCCAGCACAAGCTTCCTAAGCTGATTGATGATGACCAAACATCACGCTTTTTAGTATGGTAACAAAGAGTGGTAACAGGTCGTACCAAGGTTTTCTTTGCTCTTCCTCTGTCATAAGTCCAGTTTCATTTCTATCATCAGCAGGGACGAGGCGAAATTTAGCGTAACGTGGCACACCATCTTTCGCTTTGTATTCAAATGCCATCCACGAGTAATACCGCTGGTCAGTAAACGATTCAGGAGCTCGACGAAATGCAGCAATGGTCAAATAGAAGCTGTATTTGGAAAAACAGAAAAAAATAAATCACTGAATTACATTGATTTACCCTTTTGTCTTCTGTGTTACTAGCGGTGTCGAAAACAATTTTTGGTTATTAGCATTTTTACACCATTTGTTAGCGAGTGATTGTACCACTTACTGCCAAGGATCCTCAAGACAATATGTCTCAAATGCTTTTATGTCTCCATTCAACGCACTCAGCATCTTGTCTAAGCTGTGGAGACTCCAAAATGCAGCCTCTTCACCAGTATGCAACAACAGATCAAAAGGTGATTCGAAGTCACTGTCGGAAAACTTGAGAGCGGTTAATCTGATGTCCAATTCGGCATCGTCCATCTTGACGAGATTACAGTGACGGAGACGAACTGGAAACACCCTTTCTGCAGAAAAAAAATCGTGGGAAGGGAGGAGCGGATTGTTGAGGACTGTTACAACTCCGGTGGCCCCCACAGCTCGTGTTTGCTGTGTTATGAGCGACTTGAGAACAAAGCTGGCTTCATACTTTTTAACATAAAGTGCCAACTGTGACGCACTGAATGGTCCAGCCTCTGGTGGAGGCTGTGAAGGGAAGAAAAAACACAAAATCAGTCTTTAAGTCATGTTTGCAAAACACGGATTCAGCTGGAGAGCCTTTAAATGCAAATAACACTAAAGTAAGAAAGCTGGGAAATCTAACGCCCTGTAGTGGATAATAATAATAATAATAAAAAAAAATGCTATTTTACGCAAAGATCGTTGGTCACTGGTGATCCTAGCAGTATGCAGCCGCAGGACACGTGTCTCATATGAACTTCATTGAATTCTCTTCCTCGAGGCAAGTCAGGTTTTTTCTTTGACCCCCGCTCGTTACGCTCTTAACAAGACCGATAACCTCTTTCTTTAGTCTTAAATACTGTTTTTTGGTCATTGTTTTGGATGATATATGAGTAAACCTATAGAAAGATCGTTTCAAATTTTGATAACGATGACGACGATTATATATGATAAGGGTGATCTTAACGATAATGACGATGTTGACTGAGACATTAGCCATTTTGATAATGAAATTGTAATGAAAATTCCATAAAACAATTCTTCACCTGGTCTGCCTCTGCCATCCTTTTCTCAAACAATTCCTCTCCCATCGATTCCTTGAATATTCTGAATCCCACATTCTTCCCTGTTAAAATACACATAGAACTCTTAACATAAGTTCAAATTGTTTTAGTAAAAAAAAAAACCATTATGAGGATAATTATCCTCTCTCGGAAAGTGTGATGTTTTTTTTTTTTTTTTTACTTACATGGCTCTGGTTCTTCGCTTATTTCAATCGCTGGCCTCTTGATAGTTCCAATTACCTTGTTCTTCTTTCTTTTTGAAGGAATAATCCCCATCTTTACAAATACTCTGTTTTCATGTTACAAATAAAAAAGGTAATATTAACTTATTTGTCAGGATCTGCTCCAGTCCATTTGTCGCAGAAAGATAGGCAAAATGAAAGAGAACAAACATGTTACACGTTACTTCGTCCCCAGGTTAAATTTCCCAATATTCAATATGATATGAATCCACGCTACTTTCTCGAAGGCGTCTTGTGAGAGGGATCGAATATGTGACGGGAAATACCGCTGAAATTGAGTGCAAGAGTTTTACTGGTGTGATGATTGTAAAGACCCGCCTACGCGCTTTTTCGTTCAGCGGAACATCAAAGATAAAATTGTTCACAACAGGAGGCTATTGTCGTGGCGAGGGAAGGGAGAGGAATGTATTTGCAAGGCTAATTCGGAATGAAGTGTCAAAAATTAGCGCATAGTTAATACCGAAACGACTTAAAAAGATATTTCAACGCCTCCTCAGACAATAAGAACACAATCGCGTTTATCAATTTGCCGTCACAAAGTGAGCGCTTTGACCATACTTGATGATTAAATGTACCTACAATGGCTAAAGTGCTGCTAGTTCGCTCATATTCGACTAAATAAACTGATTCAGTCGTAATTCTCAAAACATACTGTAAGTCACACAAGGACTTCAAAACTTATTTCTTCAGGGGGAGCTAAGCCTCGAGCCGCTGTTTAGAGTCATCGCATCTCACCACACCTCAGCTTGGCGATTGCTTCGCTGATGAAGTGATGCAGTTTATCTATCGGATATCAGTCAAAACGAAATATGTAGAAATGAGTGTCGGATTGAATGGGGTACGTATTACTCACATGCAGATGTAATTTCATTTGAGCTCGTAACGACAGACTGGTTTGTCATGAAACATTTCACATGACCCTTTTGCACCACGTCTAAGTCGCAATGCTCTACACTTACTTGTTGTAACGTTTCCACACTGCAGATATTGGTTTCAAATTGCGTTCCTTTTCCCTGTAAAGATCCAAAAACATAGGGGAATAAACACCCTCTTTTTTGTTGTTGTTGTCACGTCATTTAAGGTAAATACTGTAGTTGTTTCCTAGTGATAGAGACTACTAAGTAAACTAACGCATGAGGGGCAGTCAAGCTTGTTTAATAAGCCCTCAAGGGCCTCAATCAATTCCGCATCTTTCTTTGGATCACTGAACCTTTACTAATCGCTCTCTTGTAAACATTCAAATGTAAAATGGAATGCATTATAAAAGCTTAAAACTCCTTTGAAGGCAAACCACAGCTTTGGTTGATACAACTTTAAAAAAATGTTTTCGGTCACGTTATCTTGTATGTCTTGTTCAAAGTGCTCTGGCAGCAGTTGTGATGGCATAGTTCATGCATTCTTGGTCCAATATCATCCGCGAATAACCATTGTGTAAGCATTGTCTATTTCCATTTGTACTCGCTGGACTGTTTGGGCCGGTTATTTACACGAGGTCTGAGCCAAACTGCGGTTTTACGCAAGCAGAGAGCCTCAGTGATTCGCTTTAGGAGGGTTGACTTATTTCCGACACTGTTCACAAAAATAATTGAAACAATGGCTAAGAACGCGGTTTTATTAAACAACGGGTAAACTTTGTTTTAATAACCGACCCTTTATGTTGCGTTTAGATGTCAATACTGCTACCAATGACGCTGTCTTTTGTAAATTGTTTATTTGAATAACTCTATAGTTATGCCCACATACTGACGTCTGAAAAGTACAATGAAGGCAGCACAAGTTCACAGATGGTAACATCTCAGTCACGTACTAAAGGCCGTTACTGTGTACTGTGTGGGTGTTGTTGATATTATTATTATGGCAACGGAACGCGCTTTTCACACTCCCTCACACTCAACTTGTTATAGAGATTTTTATTATTCTCATTGCGTAAAGTCCATTTATTCCTTGTTTCATAAATGGAAGGGAGGAGTAGCAGAGTAGCATTTCATACATAATTGAAAGTTGAACTAGACGAAGACTCAAAATCTTTCCTAACGCGATGGAAAAGTTCTAATCTGTTATTATAACTACGTCCGCGGGGGGCTTCATTCAGTTTCCGGGATTTCTAATCTTATATACTCCCTTGGAAAAAAAACAAAAAGAGAATGAATTTCGTCGTTGATATATTTCTTTAGGGAAATCCTTAGGAAAAACTACTCTCTCTCTATGGTCTGTCTTTTAAAGTTTTTAAACAGCTTGTCTTTCCTTTAACGTTTCGACAGTGTATCTCCGAAGGGGAAAAACAAAACGATAGCAAGGATCTAAAGGCAAGAACCGCTTCTGTCGAAATCGAACAATTCACAGTGGAGGTGTGTGCTTTATAAACCGTGGGTCCTGTCTCCTGCATCTATTAATTAGATAATTTGATTGGACAGGGGACGTTAAAGAACCCACATCACGAGATTACTGTAATGTGGTCTGGCCTGTTTACTGGGAATTGGGGGGGACGGGGCGTCTGTTAAAAAAAAAATTCGCTTTTGTTGATTGTAAACTGCCACTGGCAGTCTGGTAAAGTCCCCCGCACAAAGGTCAAGCGTAAATCATCTTTTAATAATCGTTTTATTCTGAGCTTAACGGTTAAGGCCTGGTTAAGGTCACATTATTTTCAATTAAAAACGGCCTGACAAAATTTAGAGACTTTGCATGCTTGGAGTATAATATGTATCGAAATATGGCCTAACAAACATAGATCAGAGAAAATTCAAGCATCTTTAAAAAATATTGCCATATCTAGGTCAGAATATCATCATTTTTGCTCTATGATGGGTACAAGGTTTTCATCGGAAAAAAATTACTTTTATTTTGCTAAACCGCTGGTTGTTTGCAGTCCTAATCAGAGGTCTTCTCAGAGTAATTATAAGCTATGAGTCGAGGTATTTCAAGATAATGACACTGATTTGGCTTTAATGTTAATTTTCACTCACCAAATACAAAATAAAGGCTTTATGTCAAGACTTTGGTCTGTTTATAGCATGAATTATGCTCAAAATTCCATATTGCTTGGCCTTAGAGGGGCATGGAGAGTTTGTGCCAAAAACTTAACAAACCTTAATAAGCCAAATTTTTCTCAACTGATTTTGATAAACAGGTCACTAAAGTACATATTGGATTTGGTGTGAAAATTATGCAAGAAGGCAGGTGAATGTTATGGTTTTTGAAAAATGGCAATTTTTGGTAGTGATTTTCACCTCAAATTTGACCTAACTTTAGCCCCAGGCCCCTCTCTGTCTAATCGCTTGAGAACAAAGTTACATTTATGAAATAAAAGCTAAACTATAGTAGAGTCCATGGTCAAATTCATTTGGCAGCACAATTTACCAATGGAGTTTTATAGCACTTTCAAAATGCCACCTAGAAGAATGAATTTTTGGTGCTCCATAGGCCACAAATGGGACCCCCCCTGAAACTCCAGAACAAACAGTCAGAGAAGTGAGCCAAAGTGGCTTTTGAAATATTTTATCACAATCAACTTTTGTGCCAAGTTTTAGCCAAATTGGTTGACCACCACTTTTGGCTCCTGGAACACTTTCTCAGAAAGGGACACTTAAAGCGTTGCAATCTGATTTAGAAGTGATAAAATTGTGAGACAAACGATGATGCCTAATTACTATGATCAGTTTGATTTGGAATGGTTATACTTGGGTTCTTTGGTGTATTATGATCCTTAAAATAATTGCCTAAACGATATAGAGTATTTTACAAATACTGATGAAATGATGAAAATAACCAAAAAGGGCAGTAGACAATGTCACTAAAATCACCAAAAAGACTGCCTAATATTCTTTCACTAAGCTTATCCGTTGTTTTACATTTGAATTTTCTATAATAAAAGAAGTGTAAACTTTGTGTCATATGTCCCTATCTGGCTATGGATATAAATGTAGATTAACCCTTGAATGATAACTACATTTTAGTATGCGTTCTTCCTTGATGTAGGTAGTCGTTCTTTCGACGCGTGCCCTGTCTTTTCTGTTCTCTTCTGTGAGTTTTCTATATGGCTATACTGTTCGGTGTTCTCTCTGGTAGCAGATATTCGTAAGGAACCTCTAGCTGCTTATTTCGTTCCTTTATTTCGCTGGAGATCTCGTTGAGCTTTCCTTGAAAGCGTAGAATGGCCTCTAAAGCAGCGTTGTCAGTGAATAGGCCGTCTGTGTAGTCACCAAGGAAACGCTTCGAGAAAAAAAGATACAAATTTCAGTAACTAAACGGATAAGGAGTTACCCATTAGTCAGCACGCCGGCTTAGTCCGATGAAGAGGTCGATTTGTCAGGAAAAACATACTTCTCAAATACAACGTCTCCCTCCGACCAGGAAGGCAGACGAGTAACAGGGGTCGTGAACTGTAAGTCAAACCTGATAAAATGCAAGGGGCGACCTTTGGGTGACTAGGCGCATCCAATCCAGGTCTAGTAGCCACTCTCAAATGTTTCTTGAAGCTACCGAAACCTGGAAAGTCTCCGGTAACTGTGTGTCACGAGTTCAAACTTGAATTAAACTTATAACCAGAACCATTCACAATGATTTATACTTACATATCCTACATTTTGATCAATTTGGCAATCTTCCCCACCACCCCTGGTCATATTTTGAATCAGAATGACTTAAATTAAAATCACCTCGTCTGGAAAGATACGTGTCAAATCATACACTGTTGCTATGGTTACTCCTGCCTGATGCTTGGTTGGTAAACATTTCATGACGTCTTTTATGCTCACAGCTCCCTTCTTTGTGGGAGGCGGTTGTCGCATCAGAGCGGGAGCATTTGGCGGGAAACCAAAAGTGTCCATTTGTGAAAAGTTCACAGCCGCGTGTTGACACGAGCACGTGAAGATTATTATGGTCAGAAGATGTGTCAGCTCTTGGATGCTTTTTACTGATGACGGGAAGCCATGACAGTTTTCTCCGTCTCGGACAGGATAGCCATTGTTGTGGAGATCCAGAGTCCACGCTTGGAGCTCTGTGTCCTGTGGAGAGTTGATAAATCGTTTTTTCAAAAGACCTGGTTGAAAGAGTTGGCGGAATCCTTGCTTTCGCATATCAAAGGCTGTAAGATATATTCACTGAAAATCAATGGCTGAGGATTCACTAACAAACTACATCCAACAAGCGACTACTCTCAGGTGCACGATTAGTTCAGGGCCGTCTTAGTGCTTGATTAGATATGTTGGCATGTAGTTTTAAGAAAAATGCTTAAGTATATATGAATGATAGCTACGTCCAGGGTTTCACCTATCGACAAACAGGAACAACATTATACAGTAAATGGTTTGAACCGGGGGGTAACATGTGCAAGTGTGGTGCAATCGTCCAGGTGGGTGTAGTCCTGAGAAGGACTATTATCGGTGGTGGTGACTGACGTTTTGACAACCTGTGCGGAAGTCACCATTGGAATACAAAGAGAATTCCTGTGAACGCTCTTTTTTACCCTCATAAGGAAAGGATGTCATTCAAACAAAATACTTGCCTTTTGAATGTCATCATCAGAATGGTAGTAAATTGATAGAATGTCCTTTGCGAAATCGCTGATGGCCTGCCACAGTCGTAAGGCGTCGTCTCGATAATAAAAGCCAGGCAGCTTATTTGCATCAAGAACCCCTCTTTCTTTTAACACTTTGGGAAGGTCATACGATGACCAGCTTAAGGTTTTGTAATACTTCTTCATAAGAGCTATATGACCTG